GCAATATATGTCCACATAATGTTCCACTGATATCTCAATATCTGTCTACACAATGTTCAACTGATATCTCAATGTCCTTCTTCACAATGTTCCACTGATATCTCAATATCTTTCTACACAATGTTCCACTGATATCTCAATATCTGTCTACACAATGTTCCACCGATATCGCAGTATCTGTCTACACAATGTTCCACTGATATCACAATATCTTTTTACATAATGTTCTACTGATATCTCAATATCTGTCCATACAATGTTCCACTGATATCTCAATATCTTTCTACTCAATATTCCACTGATATCTCAACATCTGTCTACACAATGTTCCACTGATATCACAATTTCTGTCCACACAATGTTCCACTGATATCGCAATATATGTCCACACAATGTTCCACTGATATCGCAATATATGTCCACACAATGTTCCACTGATATCTCAATATCTGTCTACACAATGTTGCACTGATATCACAATATCTGTCCACACAATGTTCCACTGATATCGCAATATCCGTTTACACAATGTTCCACTGATATCGCAATATCTGTCACACAATGTTCCACTGATATCGCAATATCTGTTTACACAATGTTCCACTGATATCACAATATATGTCCACACAATGTTCCAGTGATATCGCAATATCTGTCTACACAATGTTCCACTGATATCGCAATATATGTCCACACAATGTTCCACTGATATCGCAATATATGTCCACACAATGTTCCACTGATATCTCAATATCTGTCTACACAATGTTCCACTGATATATAAATATATGTCCACATAATGTTCAACTGATATCTCAATATCTTTCTACACAATGTTCCACTGATATCGCAATATCTGTCTACACTATGTTCCACTGATATCTCAATATCTGTCTACACAATGTTCCACTGATATCTAAATATATGTCCACATAATGTTCAACTGATATCTCAATATCTTTCTACACAATGTTCCACTGATATCGCAATATCTGTCTACACAATGCTCAACTGATATATCAATATCTGTCTACACAATGTTCCACTGATATCTAAATATATGTCCACATAATGTTCCACTGATATCTCAATATCTGTCTACACTATGTTCCACTGATATCTCAATATCTGTCTACACAATGTTCCACTGATATCTAAATATATGTCCACATAATGTTCAACTGATATCTCAATATCTTTCTACACAATGTTCCACTGATATCGCAATATCTGTCTACACAATGTTCAACTGATATCTCTGGAATTTTTTACACAACGTTCCACTTATATCTCGGGAACTGTCTACACTATGTTCCACTTATATCTCGGGAACAGTAGTATACATTTCTATTTCAATACATTTTACATATTTTATCGTTTTTTAACAGAGCAACATCGGTACACGATACTGAGTTTTGGGGAGAGTGTAACGAGTCACCAGCAAAGCTCTCCAACCAACCAGCTGAGTATAACCTACAATGAAGAACTCATCCCTGATGCACCAATCACTGTTGATGCACCAGTCATGAACGATCTCACCAATCCATCACCGAAATTATCCAGTGGAAGTCAGCATACACCGCATACAGCATCATCTGTGCACTCCAATAGATCTATACAAAGCGAGGTAGCATAACTGACCTGTATACAACGTGTGTGAAAAGCATACAAGAAATTCAAATGCATAATGTACAATATATAGGGTATCAGTCAGATCTAACAACATAATACTCCCAGATGTAAGAGCTCGGCAAATGTAAGAACATGCAAATTACAGCTTTTTCATGTCACTTTTCATTCTTAACTTTTCATTAATTTATGTAGTCCACCATCTTGATTCTTCGGCAAAGGATTATGGGTAAAGTATGACATTAAATTCTCTGTTGTCAGAAATTGAGAAAATGTTTTCTAATACTGATGAAAAGTTGAATATCTAGAGAAGGAAAAGTGATATGAAAAACTGTAAATTGCATTCTCCTACATTTGTGGAGGTCATTCTTTAGGGAGCATTATGTTGTTTGGTTTGACTTGTACCCCCCCCCTTTTCTATAAAATATAATGGTCTCCGGTGTAGGACACAGCAGTGTAAAAATGATTACTCAAACCCTCAGAACCAAGACTTAATGTTTCTGTAACTGTTTATACCTCGTACCGTATTTATCCAGGTAAGAGCCCACCCCTATTTTTTGGCAATTTACGATGTTCCGGTCCCTGGGCTCTTACCCGGTACATATTTCTGGGTAGGATTCCATATTTGCTCCATTAGAATCACACATTACTAAGAATTGCATTTATTTCATGTTGAATCCTTAAACCATTGTCATTTAGGTAAGCACACCAGTGCTTCTAATAGATCAAATTTGTTTGGTTCAATTTTGAATATTATCAGAAAAGGGGAAGTGTCTTCATCCGAGTTGATAAAAATTCGTCCACGATGTTGTTTTTCAATGTATATTTTTGATAAATGTAATGAGCATGATTCTTCAGAAATCATTTATTGTTATAGATCAAGTCCTATCTCAAGACCATATGCAAGTTAACTATATGACCGTAATATTTAAGGAAGTATTTAAACGTCAAATCTCCTGTTTTTTTCATGCTAGTCTAAGCCTGCATGACCTTATTAATAATTAATTTCATATCAAGTCCATGTGTAACCTATCACTGCTTAGTGAAATTTAGCAGTTTAAAATGGTAGTGTCAATTATAGATCACTAAACCTGTACTACCTGCTCTTAGGATATTCACTCCTTGCAATATGTAATTTTCCGTTCGAGTGCAAGATCTTGTGTACTGCGAGAACGATGTGGTCAGAATGTCTGCCGCAAAAATTGAACGATTTGATTTTGAATGTGAATTTCTCTTTTTCATAGCCTAGGGGATTATTGAGTTCCTTCCTTCATCAAAATTGGCCATCATCATATGTGTACAGCACATGCAGCGTGGGAATTTCTCCCAAAATACTTACGCGATGTTTGATCTCACTATGACGCTGTGACCTTTGTTTGTCCTGTTGTTACTTTCGATTTCATGCATTGCGCGGGAGCTTTGCAGTGAACGGGAAATGATCTTATCTACATTATTGCATTTTTGTGTTTGCCACAACCCAATTTTTGTGGCTAGATTTTCCATCCCATGAAAATTTACCTCGTGTGAAATCTGTGTACGTAGTCTCCTTTTATTTAACCTCTCATTCTATTTCCGTCCTTGTTATTTACAATAAAATATTTCTATTGTACATTTACAATTTTGCCAAATTATCATGGTTTAGTAACCCCTTAAAGTAGGGGAGTCATTACCTGCTTGTCGTTGTTTACAAACAAGTATCTACCCATGAGCCTTTGTGTTTTTAGCCTGCGTTGTGATCATCGATTAGGACTCAAATCCCATGTATGTGTAGGTGACGATCCTTCGCTTTCATCAGTTTTCACAAAATAAATCTACATAATATTTTCTGTATTCAAAATATTCATCAAGATCTGATTGTAACTAATGGGAAATGAGAGAGAAATTTATAAAACTCTGAAATTTATAAAAATGATGATATTCACAGAACTATGTAGCATGGAATCATGGAAATGATGATTATTGACAAATACTGGTAATATATATTTTCATAATAAGCTGCAATTTTATATATTTTCTTGTAACATAATATCATCACTGGTTGTTATTTTTACTTATTTTCCTAGCCTTTTGTTGAGAGTGATAATCGAACACCAAGTGATGATAAATATCTTTTTGTAAAAGATCATTACTGACCTTTTCACCACCAGTTCCTTTTTTCCATCAGAAATTGTACATTTATAGTCTGCACTTTCCTTCAGAAGATTGGGAAAAAAAATAGCCAATTTTTTTTTTTTAGTAAAAACTAAAAATTAACTTAAATTTTGTCTGTTGGCTCCAAAATTGGGGTTCATTTCCAGAAATATTGAAGAATATAAGAAAAAAGTGCCGAAAAATTTGGGCAAGGAAGTCTGGTGGTGGAAAGGTTAAGAGTTTGTGCAAATGCATGAAATAATAATACAGGTTTAATTTATTGTTTATTTTTGCAATTTTTCAATTCTTGCTAAAAAAACAAATATTAGTAAGTTTATGTTTTAATATGCCTGAATAATCACTGTGCATGAGCATTCTAGTTTGACCAAAAAAATCATTTTAAACATAAAAAATATTGTATAAATATATTTATATGTCTGTGTTGTTACAGTGCCTTGACTGAGAGTTTTGCTAAGTATTATACAGTTATGTAGTTAACAAAATCATGGCTAACATTTCATTTGAAATTATATACTTTGTGTTTTAATTATTAATTTCCGTCCAGTTTAAAGTATTCCCCCCACCCTCAGTGTGTGTGTCCGGGTCCCCATGGGCAATTTTTCTAATTATCGTTTTCAGATTTAGGGTGAGGGGTCAGAGGTTACAGGATATGACATGCATGTTCACCCAGCCCAGTATTGAATCTATGATGTCTTGGCAAATTTTCCATGTGCATGCTTGCTAAGGTTTACCAAAAACTGTACGTCAATATTATGTATACAAACATACATTTTGTCTTGAAAACCATGCAAACGAACCGCTCTTTAGCGTGATGTTCTGTAATATTATTTTAGTTACAATTGAGTGAAATTATATGTCCTATCGATAACTTGTACTTGTTTTAAACAATTATTGATGCATGCCATTTTACTGTTTTCTGCTTTCAACGGTGGCAGCTTACAATGCCTATGTGTTTTACATTATTGCCCTTAATGCAGAGTGTGTCCATATGAAACATGATAAATAAGTAATAACGTCTTCTTTGATACAATTCTGACAAAATAATTCTTCGAAAAATACTAGCCTTTTACTACTGATTTTTTATTGTTTTATACCCATTGTGTTGCCATATAATGTGTTGTGCTGAAGCATTTGTGTATCTAAAAAAAAAAAAATCAGCTTAGAACTGTCATGCATTGTGATTGGGTCTTCACTGCTACTGAAACTCCAGTTGACCAATCAGGGAATAGTTTACAAAAAAAGAAATTTGTAATTACAAACCTGCCTCAGTTGAGTATTCAGTTCCAGTCTGAAACAATAATTTTAATTTAGGAGATTTATTGTAAATGTTTATAAATAATAAATTGTACAGTTTTGATATGAAATATTATTTTATACAGATTGTATGTTTTTATTATTGGAAATGGAATTTTCTCATGAATTGTATATAGTATTGTTTTGCAATAATATCACGTTACATGTGATCAATAAAATTTAAACTGACACTTTTATCTGGTTTGTGAATATAAGCGGGTGTAATAGGACAGGGTAATAGTGATTTATAAGATGTATGCTTTAGAGTGTGTTTAAAATTGTATATATGTATTTTATATATACATGTATATTTGTAAAATTGTGACAAATCGAAGAATTACTGATTTTTACCACGACAAAATGGAGAAAATGTGAAATTTGGGCAATGCAGCTTGTCTTACTAACACTTCCAAGCATGAACACGAGCATGTTAATTTGCATAAATACAAGGATTTTTGACTCCCATGTGCGAAGCACAAAATGGGAGTCTTTGCAGTTAGTGTGTCTGTATGTGTGTGTGTGTGTGTGTATGTGTGTCCGACTGTTCCACTGCTATCTCAAGAACCATACATCGGTTTTTGATGAAACTTGGTGCATAGATGCTCTGGGCCAATGCGCAGATTTGATTAGGTTTTGGTAAAAATCCATGTTCGTTAATTACCTAATTTGCATGATAATTAGCTAATTTTTAGCTGTTCTATGACTGTTCCACTGATATCTAAAGAACCACTCATTGGATTTTGATGAAACTTGGTACATAGATGCTCTGAACATATGCGCAGATTTGATTAGTTTTTGGTAAAAATCCGTGCATATTAATTACCTAATTTGCATGATAATTAGCTATTTTTTAGTGGTTCCATGACTGTTCCACTGATATCTAAACAACCACTCATTGGATTTTGATGAAACTTGGTACATAGATGCTCTGAACTAATGCTAGGTTTTGGTAAAAATCCATGCTCGTAAATTACTTAATTTGCAT